TGTTTGCCCATTCCATGTGGGAGTCCACTGCCTTCTTTTTGGACTCCCGGAAGCGATGGCGATATGCTTCTGGGGTGACCGCATATCGGGTGAGTAGTGCAGCTTTCACCCGTTGATACTGCGTTATATCTTCCGTAGTAAGTGCCCGAAAAGCCTCATTTGCTTTTCCTGAGAGCTTTCCAGCCAGAATAGTAACCCATTGGTCTGGTGGTACTTGGTGTAGCGAGCATTGTCTCTCAAAGTCCGCTAAATATCCGTCAATTTCTTCTTCATTCTCTACAAACGCTTTAAATGCAGTGAACGGTATTTTCCTCCCTGTAGCAGCGGGTGGGGGGGTAGGAACTGCCTGTGTAATGGGCTGTCTAGCTCTTACCAGTTCCGCTTCTTGTCCCCTCTTAGTTTGTATCTCCTCCCTTGTTTCCCGGAGCAGCTGGTTTATTAGCTCCGTGGATCTTTCTGGATACCAAGCTAATCTCCGCTGTACAATGGCAGAAATTTCATCGTCCTCGCTGACAGGTGCAAGAGGTTCTGTTACCTCCATGGACCTATCCATTTCGTCCAGTTCTAGTAGGTCAGCTATCAGCTCCCTCCGTGGTCTGTTGCTGGCACTCCTACCACGACTCTCCAATAAATCCTTTAATGTGGGTCTTTTCAGCTTGACGTACTGAGCCTCCATTCAGCACTTGTTCTCTGGATAAAAGGACCATCCCACCGCTGCCACCAATGTAACGGCTACCCGGGTAGAAGGAGGGTATCTGCCGTTGGAGACGTCCTTTTTCCCTGTAAGCTGCTGTGGAGAAGTAAGCTGGTATAATCCTATCCACGATATCCAGAGTAAGAGTCAGGTTCAGCTGTAACAGGAGCAGAATAACATTCCCAAATAATCCCCTTCCAAGAACGAGACAAGGCTACGTTTTGAAGGGTCAAGAAGATCTGAGGACTGGAACACCCAGCCTGCTTTTATTGGGATCAGGTACACACAGGATACTCCCAGGGGGAGGATAAAAATACCCAATCATATACCTGGTAACACCCCCACGTCTCCTCCCCTCAGATAACATATAACATAATTAAAACGTACAACATTTTACCCCAGTTCTGGATGTTCCCCAAAAACAGGGGGTACAGCTTTAAATCCGGGGTCGCTTGATAGCTCTCATTCAGGGGACCAACATGTCCAAAAATCAGCCCATTCGGATGAATAGTTCGGGAGATACAGAGTTCCAAAGTTTTGACCGACCGCACAGACCAACTAGCCGAAAATAGTTCCATGAGTTTTGGCCTTGCGGTCGGTCTCCGTTCGCCTGGTAAAAAGGTCTGAAATTCTTGCCATCCATTCGAATCTCGGGGTTCGCCGCAATCCCCATAGATGATTGAACATAACTACCGAACGTCCGGTGATTCGGTAGTTTCCGTGCGAACTTCTGGAAGTATGGAGGACTCAGCGGTGTTCGCCTGTTTGCGTATCCGATTTTAGTTCCACGCGTCGACAGGCAAACACCGCTGTTCGCACGTAAGATGGCCGCGGCCACGTGTAAAGTCCCGAAATGGCGGCCACCTATACTTTACACAGGGAACTCATGCGAATCCATTCGAATGGTTGAAATGCACTAAATGTGACGAATTCCTGCTGATTTTGGTTAGTTCACTGGCCCAGGCATACAGCATAGTTCTGTTACACCTCACGTCACAAACACTAAAAAATTAGTACAGCAAAAATAGCAAAACTTAAAGCAAATAGTGGAAGATCATTCCAAGAGACTTGGACAGAATCACTTGGAGTGATTGAACGCAATGGAAAGCGTTATGTATTCTGTAGTGAAAGTGTTGTGTCCCGCAAACCAAGTGTTAGACCTCACTTTGACACCAACCACAAAAGTGTTTGCCAAACTTGGAGAATCTGAAAGTAAAGAGTTTCTTAAGGAGAAATTGAGGAAATATCACTCCCAGTATCGTAGTTTTTTCCAACTATCTTTCTAAATCAAATCATCTGTCAGTTGCCAGCTTTCACATTTCACTGTGCATAGCAAAACATGGTAAGCCTCTCTCTGATGGGGATCAAAATGGCTGGGAGTAGTTCCCTTTTTCATTATTTCCCAAACAAGGATAAAATTATGAAACTCATCTCTGAGATGCCCGTTAGCAGAAATATTGTTAAAGATCGAGTCCTGGGCGTGGGAAGCGATGTTAGTCAGCAGCTCTCCACTGACTTACAAAAGGCAGCGTGTTACTCCGTGTGCTTGGATGAAAGCACAGATATAAATAATCATGCAAGGGTAGAAGTAATTTTGCATTATAAAGTTTGTGACATCATGAGAGAAGAGGCTGTTGAAACTGTTGTCCTTGCCTAGAAGAACACAAGGAGGAGATATCCACAATTCTGTGATAGAGGCTTTTTTGGCACAAGAAATAGGACCAGAAAAAGTGGTTTAAATTACTAGTGGTTGGGGTTTCAGTTCTTTGTTAAAGAATCAAAACATCCAGTCATTCAGTTTCATTGTATTATACACCAAGAGGCTCTTTGTGCCAGCAGCAAAAAATTATATCCTCAAAGATGTCAAAAAAGAATGAATTACATCATGGCTCGTTCTTTTAATTTTCAACAGTTTCAAGCACTTCTTGATGAGGTACAGGCACAGTATAACACTTTACTCTTGTACAATTATGTCCGGTGGCTGAGCAGAGGACGAGTCCTGGAGAGATTTGTGGCCTGTTTGGATGAAATTAGGCTGTTTATGAATGAAAAGGGGCAAGAATATCAGCCATCAGGAAATCCACAAGGAACTTTGAATCAATGTAGTAGCTCCTAAGGAGAACTGTAGTAACAGATTCTTGCAAATCTGGAAAATGGAAACAACCCTGTATTTTCTCACCTCTTCAGATAAAGCCAAATATGAAGAGCTTGATATGTCCTGCTTACACTGGTTAGATTAAGGAGATCTAGAAATGGAGCTATTCGAGCTCTATCTGGAAAAAAATGTATTCTATGCCCTGCGTGCTACACTTGAGAATGGATGACAATGGACAGCACAGTTGGTAGTTCTGAAAATGAAATCCTTAAAGTGTGGAATTGTCTGCCGAATAATTACAAGTCAATGAAAGCACTTGGAATTGCTTTTCTTTCATTGTTTGGGTCGTCTTATGCTTGTGAGCAGCTGCATTCAGCCTTGAATTATATCAAATTATATCAAATCTGATTCCAGAAACAGACTAAAGAAAATTTCACCATACTTACCGTAATTTTCTTTTCCTGGATATATCCATGGCAGCATTACGATAGGGTTAGCTCCGCCCACTTGGCTGTTTAGGACAGGAAATAAAGGTCTAAATACTCCTCCTACCAGACTGGATCTCCAGTCTAGTTACAAGCTCCTAAAAAGAAATTTATACAGAAGGGAGGGATGCAATGCTGCCATGGATATATCCAGGAAAAGAAAATTATCGTAAGTATGGTGAAATTTTCTTTATTCCTGGATATATCCATGGCAGCATTATGATAGGGTAATACCCAAGCTCAACATCTGATGGGAGGGAAATAAACAAGCACCAACCAATATTTGTAAAATCTGTTGATAACAAGCAAACCCTGGACTGCAGAGTTTCTGGGAAACTTCCCAAAATGTCAAATAAGGCTACTTTCTTGGAGTATCCAATTTGAGAAATCTGAATAGAGAACAGAAAAACTGTTACAGTCATCTGGCTAGGCATGTGACCATGGATGTCACATGACTATAACCACCCGTTTCTAGATTGCCAAATCATAATGAAAGCAGCAACTTACAATATCCAGGAATCTAACACCTGTCCATTCTTGGACAACAGCATCGAATTATACAGATCTGAAAGATATACCAACAAATGAGCAGGAGAAATAAACCAGGCTACGGAATTCATCTTAGATTATCCTGTACAGTAAGAAAAACACTTCCCACCAGTCAAAGACAACTGGAGAGGTACCCAAATTAGTGTTCGATAGGAGGACATGTCTGACATGTCATTTTAATTTTCCCTTATTCCAGAAGTTTGGTCCTTAAGGGGTTAATTGCAAAACGGGAGGAAAAGGTATTAGATATAAAATAGCAGAGGAACTGAGGCAGAAACCAACCGTGAGGGAATAGGTCAGGTTAAACAGGAATATTGTCAAGTCTGAGAACAACTACAGCATCAGGAAAGCTGCTAATTCTTCCAGTTTCTCAGAGATCAGAAACTGTAACATAAGCTCCTGAAAGAAAAAATAAATAGAATATTCTCACAAGAAGAGAGACACTGACTGGAGTCTATGGGAAAACAGAAATACAGGAACAATTCAGTAATGTAGTATCGTAATAGGTAGAAGACTATATATAGAGACATCTGAGAACAGAAAATTCAATAAGAACGGAGTTAAATGAAATTGCTTGAGACATACCTTATAATGACACTAAGTTCAAGGTATAAAAGCATTGCAAATATCAGGATACTCTTTATACTTGGATTGTTCCAAAAAACAGTATGAATGGAAAGACAAGATACGGTTACCAGCAGGTATCAGGTAACCGGCAAACAGTGGTTGAAAAAATGCAATTGAAAAAAGTCAATCAAACATGATGAAAATAGGTAGATAAATAATAAGTGCAAAAACAGACACATCATCTGAACAGATACTGCATCTATCAAAAACATAATGTGAAAATTCTCTGGACATTAAATCCGAAATATGGTAACGTTGGATCTCCTAAACCTGGAATATAGAGATTAGCACAGTCTGTGCCACAACATAGGATAACCAGGCAGGATAATACCAGATATTAAATTGTATAACAGTATGACAACTTAAACCAAGCAGCACTGGAAAATATCCTGTTGCATTAAATATTCCTTTGTTATAAATAATAGCAGATTTTGAATAGATATAAGATGAACTTCTTATTAGTAAATTATATAGGACTCCTGTTTTCAGTGTCAGGACAATTCACAAGGCCCAGTAACACCTGCAATGCATCTGAAGTAATTAATTAGAACTGCAAGACTTTATTCTGTTACGTGGTGTGTCCTTCAAACTGCAATCCACATGCAAAAGGCTTTCTGGTATGACAAATAGAATGCAGCCCCATGTAGCCAAAGCGCAGCTAAGGGGGAAAGGATCTTGACAGGGGTTAGGAGGCGTGCATAGGAGGAGGGAAGGAAGTATAGAGTTATGGGTAAGTGGGTTGGGATATTTAAATAGGCAGCCATTTTAAGTGAACTCACTTCTAATTTCCTACCTGACCGAGTTTGTGGGCACTTCTGTGTGTGCAGATTGGGTTTGGTAGGGCCTTTTTTTTTCTCTTCTTTTCATTTCTGCAGGGCCATCGACAAGGTGGAGAGGCTGCTGGAGGGGAACCGGTCAGCGGCGCGAGGTCATGGAGCGGATTGGTTGCG